TAGTGATCTTTTCCATATGCGTGCTCAGGGTGCTTGCCCTGCCTGACAAAATATTGCATCATCCCAGCAGCACTTGAAACATGGTTCCATGCTCATGTGCAGGAGATATTACCTGGAGGCTTGGAAGGTTATGGGCATTGTTATATGCACTGGCTCAATTTAAGTAAATTTCATCACATCAAAAGCTCAGAAATTCCTGATCGCATTTAACTTGACAATGGAGTCAAAAAACCTTGAACGTAAACACCCTCTCTGTCAGCCAATTCTCGCATTAATAAAGACAAATGAAGTGTTTAATTGTGCAAGACGGTTGCCCTTTCCACCTGGCACAACATGCAAAACACAGCTGCCAAGTCAGCATGCAGCTGAGCAATGGGTTACTTTTTCTGTAAGCTGCTGCTGCCACAGCCACTGAGCGCTCTCCGTGCGTACCACCCAGACTGGCCCTTGGCCCTACAAGCCCAACCCCAATTACTGCGACCCCCGATACCCTGCCAAAAGGCGGAACCACTCCAGCTCCTGTTCACTCTGAAGCTTCTCAAAAAGTGGGGGGAAAAAACAACCCCGACAAATGCTGCCTGAGGTGCAATTGAGCATGTAAAGACATTAAGGCTTGAATTTCTTGGCGTGTGAAGAAGCGAGATAGACTGAGAGCAGACAGGAAGAGACGTTTCACTTAAAATTTGATCAAAAGCAGCAATGGGTGCATCACAACCCACCAGAACCAGAAAAAAACACTTTACAAGGCAAACAAACAGTTTGTCACAACAACAAAAACAGAAGAAACTAAATGACTGCTTACTGGAAGTGTCCCACTAAGCCATCATTGATAACACCAGGGCAATGGGCTGGGTCAGTTGGACTGTGCTCTTCTTGCCATGACAATTCAAAATGTCTCATGTGGAAACGGTTAATCCAAGTACTTTGTATACTTTTTGTAAGGCACTTCTGCTCTTCTTCAGTATGAATTGTGTGTGCAGTGCACTTTAATCTCCTCTGGTATGGATATTTTTGGAAGGTATGGGTTCAAAATCTCATTTCTGTATGTAATTTGCCGGATCTCCCTGTGTCTGCCAGCGTGTTTTTTTCCAGGCACTCTTCATTCCAGAGTCCAAAGGCATTTAAGGTGAATCAGTGACTCTCAAGTGGCAGTGGATGTGAGCCAGACAAAGCACAGCGAATGAAGATGTGTGCGCAATTGCAGTGTGAAGCACCGAGTGGTGTCCTGACATGTAAAGAGGCAACCTTTGCTGACATGTTATCCACAATTACGTAGTTAGGAGCTAATATGATGCGTGCAGCATATTCAGCTTGTCCTTAAAGTTTGAATTTGTCTGCCAATGTTAAAGAAGCAAAAGTGCTTTCATGCAGATAAACTCATAGCAAAGACACTCCTGCCAGCGAGAACTTCACTAACACACAAACAAAGTATGAGGTGACATTTGCACACAAACACACGCGCACACACTAACAGAGGGATCAGCTTTCAGTAATCTACTTTAAAGTTGCCTGCTGACAAGCTGATCGTATTTGGTGTCTAGACATAGCGGCTAAAGAGAAAACCGTGTGCTCTCTCTCGCTCTTTCCCTCCCGTCTGTTATTTTGACCAAAACAGCACAAAAACATATCAAATCCTGAATGCATTAAATGCTTTCAGATTGTGGCAGATCTGAACTGATGGCAGGTCAGTTTAGCACTCGTGTGCACTTAGTCTTGCTAAAATAAGCATAGCTTATTGCATTAACCAAATGCTACTTCAAAGCATGCATGCAATGATCAGCATCAATAATGCTATTAGAGATGTGCATGCAACACATGCCATGTGCACTAACCAAGCCCCGTGATATCACGAACGCTCCAGAGAAGCATGACAACATTTCTGCATCATGGTCACTTTGTAACTGGAATAATTTTTCATTTATCATTTATATTACATAAATATATATTTATTTCTATATAAAAACCTGCACGTTGCACCTTCACACCACAAATGTCTTAAAGTAGGTTTAAAAAGAACAAGGAAAACAAAATAAACACAATATTATTCCCTTAAAAGTAAATAGTGTCCAATGAGTGTGCTGCTGTGGCAGAAGTTTGCACTCTCAATGTGTTTAAAGTGTGTATTTTTAATAATTTGGAAAGTGTGTTCGCTGATGATGGTTTTAGGAGGTGTTCCCGATGGTTTTGCATTTTCCTTGCATATGGCCAGACAACCTATCGATGACATTGTGAAGGTAGATGACTGAATGTTTCAAAATTCGATATGTTAAAATGATTTGCAGTTAAACAGGATTTAGGTTATTTATTTGTGTTTTATTCTTTTGTATAAATGAGGTAAAAATGATACGTTTTCATCGTTTTGAAGGATTTTAGTGAGCCGCAGTTCTTTAAACCTCAGCAGATCAAAGGAGCACGCAGGGAAAATAAAAATATTCGTGGCCAAACAAAGAGCGGGACTAGCCAGTGCTAGATTTATGAGCAGATTTTCTGTTTATCTTCACATTCTCACTCATTCAGTCTCATTACAAGGAAAAAATCTTTCTCAGACTAAGCCGCCAACATTTCAGCCACCAGACCCCCTGCACACTTTGAATCAGGAACTTCTCAATCCCATAAATTTACTTAATATATGTTTATGAATGCTGACAGTGCTACAGTAAGCGCATGCCATCATATAATGAATATGGGTTAATTAACAAAGGTATGTTAGACCTCAGCTGTACGAGACAGCTCTATTCCATTGAAGTAGATCGCGCTGAGGCTGCCAGGAAAAACACTTTCCTTTGGAGAGAACAATTCATCTGCGGTTCTCTTGGGGGATGGGGTAAAGGGTGCTGGGGAGGTCAGTCATATTGCCCACCGACCAACCCTGGCATATAGTCGTGAAAGTTAAACGAGAGAGAAAGGGAATATACTTTAGAGGGGATCTGCCTCCTGGGTCACTTGCTAATTAAGCTGCATTTATCTTGGCGTTGAGTCAACCTTAATATTGAACCTAGATCCAACACAGAACAGCGCCACAAGCACACAGACTGAAAACAGCTGAGTGCTGAAAGGAATCACAAGTATGGCTCCTGGGAGTCTGTGAGCTCCTCATCTGAAGACACATTAGCATCATAAATTTAGCAAAACGCAGCATTTGTAACGTCAGTTTAAGAAATCCTCTATTTCTGTTCTGCTATTCAGTTAAGTAAGTAGAAAAAAAATTTGTAGATTTTATACATGCAGGTTAACTGCTGGTAATGTCTGCTTTGGCCTTGAATGTTCTCTAAAAGTCATTCTAGATCATGACAATTTCATTCTACTGGTCTGTCATCAGATTTTACAGATTACAGCTTTCTATCATTTCATCTAAAATAAAGAGGCAGAAGTACTTTTCCCACAGAGTTAAGTCATTCTATCTATTTACAGTAAATGTGGGGCTACCACAACCAAAGCACCTGTGTGCTGAATGCAACAAAAGTCATTCTAATGAAGCCTATAAAGAGCAGCTGAGGCTGGGATGGCATGACTACAGTATGTCAGAGTGGTTACATAAATACTCTCTGTATGATGTTTGGCTTGAAAATCATTTAAAAAGCGGTTCGTGCAAATTCAAACATTTGCTCGAGGTCAGTGCGTCATAAATCACACTGCTGTTTGGGTTCAGCGTGAAATCCAAACGCTGTAAAGATGCCGTTTGTGGTTTCTAACTGTAAACATGTATAACAGCATCTGAATTTTTGACTCCTTATAGTTTCTTTTTCCCGTTAAATATTTCTCCGGCATATAAAAGTTAAATCATTTAAGGGCAGGCGGTATCTAGAGTTCACATGAACATTACAAAGAAGGCGTGGTCAGAACCCTCCCAAAACTCAAAATGACCTTTGCCCTTTGCAGATCTGTAAGACTATCCAGCACATGCAAGTTGTCAAATAAGTCCTCACGATCCTGCTTGAAAGCACGATGGCGAGTTCAAGCAGATATTTTATTTCAAAAGAAATGTCACTGTTTGATTAGTGGTGAGCATCTGTTGAAGGCTGGTGAATATTCAATACGTTGAGGTCAGATGGTTATTTGCCGAGGCGTGGAAACACGTGTCTGAAGGACTTTCTGCAGAGGTCACAGAGGCACGTAAACCAGAAAAATGCGAGTGAAGTCACGTCAACGACAAAACGTGCTCACAGAAAACACAAAAGCGCAACGTAAAAACTCACCTTGAGCTAACTCTTGGCGCTAACGTAATATAGTTAAAAAGCCTTCAATCACTTTTAAAAGATTGCTCTGTTATCACGCCAGGACTAATCCCATCACTGAGGATGAGGATACACATCAATGCCTGCAACAACATCAGTTTGACACCTTCATACCTCCCTCCCCGACCGCTTAGATAAAACATCTGGGAGAGAGATCAGCTGACAAAAACTGCCACAGGCAGGAATCATGTGTCATCAAAGGTGATGGCAGAGCGCGAGGAATGCGATGGGGCACCCCACCCCTGAACACGCAACAAATGTTAGTGCGTTTGCGTGTGCTGCCCTGTTTTGCATCAAGCTGGGTCAGCCTGCAGTCAGATTACACCTCCTCTCCCAAGGTCCCACAATCATCATTCACTTGCATTCATTACTGAGGTGTAACATAGATGATTTTTCACTCCTCTGCTGCGAAGTGTTATGTAAACACACTGCGATAGATTTATTGGCTGTTTTAGTTTTATCTGACATCTCGATTTATTTAAATGCGAGTTCTAAGGGAAGGAGAATTGGATATTTGAAGTTTATGTTTGAAATTAAAAAGCAGGAATGTGGGAATTCGGTAATAACCAGCTAGAACCCCCTTAAGGTCATCTGGAAGAGGCTGCCTTGGTTATTCCCTGGATCCCCAGACATGGGGAAGCTGCTTTTACCTTTTATGCTGTGCTCCTGCTTTGTGTGGCACATTGTGTTTTCACCTGCAATAAAACGTGCTATACATATTAAGTTTTTGCTAACAGAGATGAACGGCGATGCTTTTAAACTTACCGGGTCTTCTGGTTTTTGGCCGCCATCATGCAGAGGCTCTTCAGCAAGGTGATCTCGCCGAATCAGCGTGAATTCCCTGATGAACACTGCATCTCCATTGTTGGCCCACACGGCAATCTGAAAAAACAAAGCCACAGTAGCAAAAGTCCTTTGAGTTAAAACACCAACAGCACTGGTGAGACAATTTATGGATTCAAGAATGCTTTAAATGAAATTCTCGTCACATCAGCAGATGCCCCAACTCCACCTGTGGGAACAAGAACAGCTGCGTCCCAAAGTGTCAACAGTCATAGCTATTTGTAATGGTAGCTGACGGTTGCGCAACTTTTACATAATCGTACACAGTTCACACTGCAATTACACATGATTGCAGAGGTGTGAAGGCAGGGCAGGGTGTTAATGGAAGCCTTTTGAGAGCGTGTTTGCAGTGATGTGATGCAGCTGAAGGAGGCAGTTGCAGGTTATTATCAAGCTGTGCAACAAGTTGTTGCAACGATATCCTGAGGTCTGTTTTTTCTTTTCTTTTTGGTTTCTTCTCTCAACCACACATCCCTCCTAATGATGAGAATCATTACAGGCTCTGGAGGAATTCACAGCACAGGAGATCTGATATCACAAGATGTAGTAACCCACATCTTCAGTCAGGAGAGACTGGTGGGGGTGAAGGGTATGTAGGATAGGGCCCATTAGCAGCACAGCAGGGCCCGCATTCTGAAAGACGTGCAGATTCACTGAACGAGGGCCTTCAGCTGCTATCCTTGGGTCATAAACAGCCCTGTAATAACCCGGGTCGACTGCCTGCCTCCCGGGCCTGTGCTAAGGCAGCACGATGCAGGGCTGTGCATGTGGGTTTGGGGCACTTGAGGCTCAATGTAGGGGGTTGTAGAAATTTTTTGCTGAGGCGAAAAAAGCGCTGCTAAGCAACTGCAGCAAAACTTACGCTGGCTCTGTGTGGGAAAGAGCCGCAGAATGTGCTCTCAAATAAGACAAATCAAATCTGGTGTAAAGCCCCACACTCAGCACCGCTTAGCTGCAGTCACTTAGACTGTGGGGGGCTTCTGTAACAACTCATAAGTCACAGCGTGGCCAAAAACCTCCTTGGATGACAGAGACCATAATGCACAGGCTTGCTTTTGTTGGTTATGGAGCTGAAGATGTGGCAGCTGTTGGGCCAAGTGTAACACTTCGGTTTATACGTGTCTGAAGATGAACAAAAATAAACATTTTACTTTAGACTGTTTATAATTATTCCAAAGTGGTTGCATGTGGGAGTCTGCAAATCCAGAAGGAGACAAATGAGTGTGAAGACTCACTTGTTAGAAAGTGGTAAAACATGCTGCTGGAAATTTCCAACAGTGCCTCAACAGTTCGAATATCTAAGATCTGTTATGTCTACGCAAGTGAATTCAGCACATTTTAACATCCACCCATTCGGTTTCTTCCACTTATCCAGTTCAGGGTCATAGGGGCTAGAGCCCAGCTGTCATAGGGTGACTGGCAGCGTGCACCCTGGACAGTTTGCTCGTCTGACATTTGAAACCAAATAACTGATATGGAAACCTCCAAAACAGTCTATTTCTGAGCATATTGCGCAGGATCTCTAGTCATATGACTAATGTTGTGTCCTTTCTGCTACTGATGCTGAAAAGTAAATGTTGAAGAACCACGCACTATACCGAAGGCTGAGCAAATATTCAGTAAGTCAAGCGTGCAAACATTAAGAAGCTCTGCTGATGTGTGTGTCAGCTAACACGCTCCAAACACAACTTGACTGCAAATGAAGGCAGACAATGCAATAACTGTTCCTTCTTAAAACAGACCCCAAACCACAGAAATTACCTTATTGCTATTTTGTAAAACCAGTAAATAACTGACACTGCCTCTGGATTGGCAGACTGGAGCAATGGTTCCCATCTTTAAGAAGGGGGACCAGAGGATGTGCTCCAACCTACAGGGGGACAACTCTCCTTAGCCTTCCTGATCTATGCCAGATATATGCCAGGGTACTAGAGAGGAGAGTTTGTCAACCCTTGGATGCAGGAAGAACAATGCTGATCAAGAAAAACTGGACTCGCTTAAAATTGGGCATGCATGCAGCAGAAATGAGCTTTCGCCAAAGGGTGACTGGGTTCTCCCTTAGAGATAGGGTGAGGAGTTATTCTAGAGGGACTCGGAGCCACTGCTCCTCCACATTGAAAGGAGCCAGTTGAAGTGGTTTGGGCATCTGACAAGGATGCCTCCTGGGCGTCTGCTAGTTGGAGTGTTCAAAGTATGTTTGACTGGGAAAAGGCCCTGGGGCAGACCCAGGACACTTGGCTAGCCTGGGAAGGCTAGCCAAGTGGGAGGAAAGGAGGAAAGGAGGAGGTAAATAGGGAGAGGGAGGTCTGTGCTGCTTAGGCTGCTGTCCCTGTGATCTCTTTGGATAAGAGGAAGAAAATGGACAGATGGATGGTCCCAATTGGGAAATAACAGATGATGAAGCAAAGCCTAATTTGGGGTGTTTATATCCTATGATAGGTTAAAAATCTAACTTTAACCTTTAACTTTAAAGATCTATGAGTATTCAAGTGTTTTCATGCACCTGTGACATATCAGTGGGTGATGTCAGGGTGGCTACTTCACTTTTTAACATATTTTATGGATATTTTTCAAATAAATTAATATAAACAGACCTAAAAAGGGCTTACACTCAACAGAGTACACAAACATGACTCCGCTAATGTCGCTCCGTGTTGGCCAAATATGGGAATTAATGAGTGTGTTAGATCTTTGACAAGCACAAATGTTCCAGTTTATGTACACTTAAAGTTTGAAGTTTGGAGCCAACTCCAACTGGTATTCAAATATCTAAATCTGCATTTGGGTTTAAATGCAGTGTGTGTATGTGCGCGCGTCAATGTCACAAAGAGCAAGGGTGAAAGTAAAACAGGGAGCCAAGATGGTGATTCATTAACCTCCAAGGCGAGTTAGATTTCAAAGAGCACGTCTCAACCAAGGAAGAGGAGAGGAAGTGAACTCCGGGGCAAGTTGGGTCTTCAAAAGCACATAATCAACAGTAATAACATCCAACCTGATATTATAATTGAGCTTTCCTATAACGAGGTGCCAGCTTCCACTGTTTGGGTGGAAACGATGAAAAACGAGTGACTTTTGCCATGCTACACTAGACCAAAACCTAGACTTCTGTTTCATGCACTGGTGCCTTTGATTAATAAGATTCCTTCCAATGTTTAGATAAGGAACCCCCCCCCCCCCCCCTAACCCCCTTTTAAAGACTTGCTGCTGTCTGAATAAAACCTAAGAGGAAAAGATATTTTTGCTAATCTACTTTCAGAGGGGTTTATGTGAGCTTTCATTTAACACATCTTGGAGGAGGAAACGCGGTGGCCTTATTTTCCTCCCTTTCTCTACTCTTCTTTCATAACCAAAAAAACCCAGCATGACCTTTTTCTCATCTGAGGATTTTCACCATATCCGTCGCTACCCGCCCACACATCAGCTAGTTAGAAGATTTGTTTAAGCATGAGATTATGAGTGCTTAGCAATATATCAATTACACATTGGGGTTTCAGAACTGATGAAGGTAACTCATAAAAAATGCTGAGACTTGGCACACCTCAGGTTACAAGACACCCCTTAATGTACTGTAAGATGAAAAGGAAAAAACAACCCGCCTGGTTATAACTTTCACCTCAGCTATCCACACAGGAAACCTTAAATGTAACAGTTCATGACAAAGCTTTGTGAGAAAACTAAGTAAAATTGAAGCACTACTTTCATCACATTCTCTGATTCCTGATGGATTATTTAGTTATCTAATATTCTTCCTCAGGCAGCCTTTGAAGTTGTACCACCTCCCCAGTTTCTCTGCCAGATTTCACTCAACTTGATTTACTAGTGTCTGTCTCCCAAGTGCAGTCTGTCCTAAGAACAAGAAGAGAAGAAGGGCAAGGAGCTCAACTTGCTGTGATCTTCAACTCCCACCACTTTTCATCTGGAACAGCATTAGGAATGAGAAGCCTCAGGAGACAGAGAGGGAAAAAATCATCAACCTCTGATTGATGAAATATTTTCCTGGCACTGTCACATCCCTTTGCGTGCGGGTCTGTGTGTCCCACTTGTTAACGTCTGCTAACGATGCACAGCACCTTCACGGTGATGCACTTTGTTTCTATGACACTTTAAAGTCGTCGTGAAGCAGCCTGCTTTACTTACAATCTGGTGCATTTCCTGTTGAAACAGGATACTATAAAACAGTGCAAGAAGAGATTAGTTAAAAATGTAAACAGAATTCAACACATTCACACAGCGGCCATTTGCCTCGCTAAGGTGTCGCTAAAGGGAAGCTCAAGTATTATTACTAGAATAACGTTGCTGCTCCAGGTGGGAAATCAAATAATTTGGATAAATCAGAAATATCACACACTCTCTTGGTTACTCAACAACTGAAGAGACAATACATAGAAAAGTAGTGGGGCGTACTGGTCAATTAGCTAATGCTAGACAACGGCTACACTTAGCATTCAAACATTTTCTAGCTAACTTTGCTACAAAATAGTGTTAGAGTAAAGGTGTAAATCGAATCTGAAATATCAAGTTTGGACACAGTTTAGATGCATTTAAGTGTTGAAGGAAATAATGCTGGATTCACTCATTCTGACAATATCACATTAGCTAACTCTGAAAATGTTCTGGTTAAGCTAGTAATATTACGCAACATTAAACTCACTGGAAGACATACATTCAACAGCAACTTTATTAAGTACACCTGTTCAGCTGCTTGCTATCATAAATATGGACTGCGACTGTCCCATGTAACTGTCTTTAGGGTTCACAGAGAATGGTCTGAAAAAGAGTGAGTAGTAGTGAGTGAAAACGCCTTATTGATGCTGGAGGTTAGAAGAAAATGGGCAGACTTATTCAAACTAATGGGAGGGCAACAGCAACTAAAATAGCCACTGCACACCTAAGGTATGCAAAAGAGCTTCTCTGAACACATAAACCATGAAGCAGATGGGATTCAGCAGAAGATGCTTGGCAAAATGTTACTTTGTCTGCAGACTCTCAATTTGAGCTGCAACTCTCAAATGGTAGAGTCCGAATTTGTTGTAAACAAC